TGGAAAGCACCAAGCCATTACGACTATACAGCACTGGGAAGGGGGTCAGGATAAGGATTTGGGATGGGACGGGGGGAAGGAATGGTGCCCAAGCACTTGGAGAGAGTGCTTGGGCACCATTGCCCGACTCAGGGATTGAACGCCGACCTGCATGAAGCGAGACCGTCGCTCTACCGTCCAGCCCAAGTGGTTGGGCTTCCTCTGGGAAGTGTTTTCAATAAATAATTGTCGTTCTGATTATATCTTCAAGAGACATTTAGTCGTCATCCGTAGTCGTCAGTAGCCATCAGTAGTTGTCAGTAGTCATCAGTAGTTGTCAGTAGTCATCAGTAGTCGTCAGTAGTCATCGGTGATCGTCAGTAGTCGTCAGTAGTCATCAGTAGTCATCAGTAGTCATCAGTAGTCATCAGTAGTCGTCAGTAGTCATCAGTAGTCATCAGTAGTCGTCAGTAGTCGTCAGTAGTCATCAGTAGTCATCAGTAGTCGTCAGTAGTCGTCAGTAGTCATCAGTAGTCGTCAGTAGTCATCAGTAGTCATCAGTAGTCATCAGTAGTCGTCAGTAATCATCAGTAATCGTCAGTAGTCATCTGTAACCGTCAGTAGTCGTCAGTAGTCATCAGTCATCAGTAGTCGTCAGTAACCGTCAGTAGTCATCAGTAGTCATCAGTAGTTATCAGTAGTCATCAGTAGTCATCAGTAATTATCAGTAGTCGTCAGTAACCGTTAGTAGTCATCAGTAGTCGTCAGTAGTCATCAGTAACCGTCAGTAGTCGTCAGTAGTCGTCAGTAGTCATCAGTAACCGTCAGTAGTCGTCAGTAGTCGTCAGTAGTCATCAGTAGTCATCAGTAGTCGTCAGTTGTCATCAGTAGTCATCAGTAGTCATCAGTAGTCATCAGTAGTCGTCAGTAGTCATCAGTAATCGTCAGTAGTCATCTGTAACCGTCAGTAGTCGTCAGTAGTCATCAGTCATCAGTAGTCATCAGTAACCGTCAGTAGTCGTCAGTTGTCATCAGTAGTCATCAGTAGTCGTCAATAGTCATCAGTAGTCGTCAGTAGTCATCAGCAGCCGTCAGTAGTCATCAGTAACCGTCAATAGTCATCAGTAGTCGTCAGCAGTCGTCAGTAGTCGTCAGTAGTCCTCAGTAGTCGTCAGTTGTCATCAGTAGTCATCAGTAGTCATCAATAGTCATCAATAGTCATCAATAGTCACCAATAGTCACCAATAGTCATCAGTAGTCACCAATAGTCATCAATAGGCACCAATAGTCATCAATAGTCACCAATAGTCATCAATAGTCACCAATAGTCATCAATAGTCACCAATAGTCACCAGTAGTCACCAATAGTCATCAATAGTCATCAATAGTCACCAATAGTCACCAGTAGTCACCAATAGTCATCAATAGTCACCAATAGTCATCAATAGTCATCAATAGTCACCAATAGTCACCAGTAGTCACCAATAGTCACCAGTAGTCACCAATAGTCATCAATAGTCACCAATAGTCATCAATAGTCACCAATAGTCATCAATAGTCATCAATAGTCACCAATAGTCACCAATAGTCACCAATAGTCACCAGTAGTCATCAATAGTCACCAGTAGTCACCAATAGTGGTCAGTTGTCACCAGTAGTCACCAATAGTCATCAATAGTCACCAATAGTCACCAATAGTCATCAATAGTCACCAGTAGTCACCAATAGTCATCAATAGTCACCAGTAGTCACCAATAGTGGTCAGTTGTCACCAGTAGTCACCAATAGTCACCAATAGTCATCAACAGTCACCAATAGTCATCAATAGTCACCAGTAGTCACCAATAGTCATCAGTAGTCATCAATAGTCACCAATAGTCACCAATAGTCATCAATAGTCACAGATAGTCATCAATAGTCACCAATAGTCATCAATAGTCACGAGTAGTCACCAATAGTCATCAGTAGTCACCAGGAGTCTCTGTCAGTGTGGCGTTTTATATTATAATTCTCTGCTACGCATATGAATGTTAATTTATTTATATATATTATTTGTTGGCAAGAGAAGCGCTATTTGGTAGTCATTAAGGAACACACACTATTGAGGCCAGCAAATACCTCTGGTGAGTATTATGGAAATATCGCATCATATGTATTATACATGTCGTGAACAACATACCCAATGGGTCGGAGTACTTCACCCGCGCTCCCTTGATAATTATTCCTTTTGGAAAACATATATATATATATATATATATATATATATATATATATATATATATATATATATATATATATATATATATATATATATATATATATATATATATATATATATATATATATATATATATATATATATATATATTGGTAGTTGTCTTTCTTGTAAACATATGCTGTTGAATATGACCGAAAGCGTAAGGGTAATGATTCTAACACGAATCTTCTCAATATTTCTCATGTTTTTCTTCACTGTCTAGGGAAGCTGAAAAATTAACACTTCAAAGTTCATTTGCAAACTTATTTATTTTGGTTTGATACCTAGAATGCGTTTCGTAAGGTCACTCCTTACATTCTCAAAGACTAATTTACCATGATTTTGCAAAGGCTTATATTCTCTTTGCGTGAAGTGGTACAGAACAAGTGGACGAAACAAGTGGATAAATGGCATAACATAAGGGATATTAATGCGGGTACTTCATGTATCAACATAAGAAGCTTATGTTGTGGCGGATCCTGTCTCTGTGTCGGCTCGGGGTCTTGAAGTGCGTAGAATGTAATTATGTGTTAACTGGTTATTGATTGCTGGTTTTGAATTTTTGATGTGTAGTGCCTCGCTGATGTCGAGTCTTCTGTTGTTATACCTGTCGATAATTTCTGTCTTGCTTGTTAAGATTTCTCTGGTGATGGTCTGGTTGTGTGAGGAGATTATATGCTCGTTGATGGAGCCCTGTTGCTTGTGCATTGTTGATCCCCTAGAGAGAGACGTTGTTGTCTTGCCTATATACTAAGAACTTTGGGGCTGGCAGTCCCCAAGTGGGAATGTGAGCAATTTTTAGCAACATGTCAATAAACCAGGCAAATGCACGAAGCCGTGTTTTATGGAAGCAGGAATTAAGGAGGGAAGAGAATGAAGGAGAGAAAATGGAAGTAGGAATTAAGGAGGGAAGAGAATGAAGGAGAGAAAATAATATATAATAATATTATAACTAGCGAAAATTTAGTCAAACAATGGCTCAAGTTAGAATATTGAATTGTATAATGAGGCAAAATTAAGACAGTTACCCTTCAGAGATGAACATGGGCGCGGAGTTTGGATCTGGGGCCAGATTCACGAAGCAGTTACGCAAGCACTTACGAACCTGTATATCTTTTCTCAATCTTTGGCAGCTTTGTATATAATTATTAAAAATTTAATGAGCTCCGAAGCACCTGGAGGCTGTTTATAATAATAACAACAGTTGATTGGCAAGTTTTCATGCTTGTAAACTGTTTAATAAAATGTAACCAAAGCCGTCAAAGATGGAGGCAAGATGTACACGTTCGTAAGTACCTGCGTAACTGCTTCGTGAATCTGGATCCGGGTCTGGTGTTATGACTCACAACCACAGCATCTACCAGTGCCAAAGCGGCTCTCACTCCTTCACTCTCCACCAATACCGTACTCACTATCACTTCACCAGAGTGAATGTAACCCTTCCTCGCCCCTCACGACATATAACAACCTCATCTGAAGCAAAACCATTACGGGCTCACCATAGCCCGTGCTACTGGAACCTATTGTTCTGAGTAGCTGAATGTATAACAGCAGGAAAACCAGAACGGTTGGGCTAGTGTCAGAAGAGCAGCTCATCTGTACACTTGCTTCACTCCTGTGTCAACACACCACTGGCTAAGCAAACAGGACGGAGCCCGTGTTCAGCACGCATCATGCGCATAAATTCGCATAATTTAATTTCGCATAATACGCATAAACTCATTCTAAATACTTAAATCAACATCCCGTCGAGCCTGACAATAGAGGTAGTGATTTTCTATTTATTTTTTTTTTTTTTATTTTCTACCACAAACGTGGCCAGACATTTACAATGCTAACCAGCATATATACATTTTCTTCTGTCCTCCATTGACAGGGTTAGAGATCAGTTAAACATATAGTTCAGGGATTTACTGAACAAATGGGGTAGTGAACGTGTTTAGAGAACAGAGGTGAAATTAAGAAAGAGGTAGAGGAATTTTCTTGGTTTGCTTTTATGGTTATCTTGAGGTTATCTTGATTTGATTTCGGGGCTTTAGTGTCCCCGCGGCCCGGTCCTCGACCAGGCCTCCACCCCCAGGAAGCAGCTCATGACAGCTGACTAACACCCAGGTACCTATTTTACTGCTAGGTAACAGGGGCATAGGGTGAAAGAAACTCTGCTCTTTGTATCACGCCGGCGCCCGGGATTGAACCCGGGACCACAGGATCACAAGTCCAGCATGCTGTCCGCTCGGCCGACCGGCTCCGACCGGTGGTTAAGATAATAAAATGGTAATTTTTTATTATCCTTCAAGAATTTTTTTTAAGGATTATATCCAACATTTTTTTTTGTATTTGGCGTGTTGGTGAGAGTTGAGCTTTAGCTCATGGGCCGAATTTTTAATATTGAATAAGTTATCTTAGTCGGATTTCTATCCATTAAGTTGTTTCATACAAACTTTTGGATCAAAGTATTTTATAATTTCATCCGTAGGAGTTTTGTCCAAGAGTCTGTGACACGTTGGGGGCCTCACGGCTAAGTGGACAGCGCTCGGGGCTCGTCGCCCTAATGACCCGGGTTCGATTCCGGGTGGAGGCGGAAACAAATGGGCAGAGTTTGTTTCATCCTGATGTTCCTGTTAACATAGCAGTAAATAGGTACCTGGGAGTTAGACAACTACTACGGGCTGCTTTCTGGGGGATGTGTGTGTGTGTGTTAGA